GTCATGCACAAGGTTAACAAATAGCCTCAGTTTGACTCAGAATTTGGGATTCAGTCAAAGCTGTTGCAGAGCTCTAATTTGCACCTTACTTGATGATTTTTCCCACTTGGAAAATAAATGCTCAAATCCTACATTTCACATATCATTAACCTGGCAGCTTTTTGGATCCAAGAATAAAGCCTTGTCTGCACTACTCATTTGCAGTAACATGTAGTCAATAAAATGCCGAATGAACCTGAAGTATCTACACTAGTAAAATATAATGAAGTTAACTCACAATTCTCTGCTATTTTTCTAATGTAGTCACAATGTTTGTTGTTTCTAGACCGCAGGGCCCAAACTTAAGATCCGGAGGCAAATATTTGTGATGTCAGAGAGATGGGCAAGCAAGGGTCAGGAGGGGAAAGTTTCTTCCCAGGCTTGCTGATACTATTGCCAGAACTTGTGCAGCAAGAATGCTAAAGAATTATTACATTGATGCTTGTTAGCCTTCTTCCAGATAGTTTGATAGGCCATATATGAGTATGCCATTTTTGGTATCACCTGGCAGGACAAAGTTCCAAATAGAGTAGTCCTAGAATGAGCTGGATTTTTTTAGCATGTATACATTACTGAAACAGCAACGGCTACATTGGGTCAGGCATGTTGTGAGAATGGCTGACGGTCAGATTCGAAAAGATCTCCTGTATGGAGAATTAGTGCAGGGAAAGTGCCCCAGAGGCAGTACAAGGATATCTACAAGTGGGATCTGAAGGCCTTAGGAATGGACCTCAACAGATGGGAAACCTTGACATCTGAGCATTCAGCCTGGAGGCAGGTGGTGCAGCATGGCCACTCCCAATTTGAAGAGACACTTGTCCAGCAGGCTGAGGCAAAGAGGCAGTCCTGAAACCAGCAAAATCAGGGAGCTGGGCAGGGGACAGATTATATTTGTCTTCAGTGTGTTAGGGATTGTCACTCTCGAATTGGCCTTCTCACCCACACTAGGCTCTTTCCAAGTCCTCTATTCATAGTCTCTTGAGAGACCATAGTCTCTCAAGACTGAAGGATGCCTAATCTAATCTAATATGAGTATGGGGGGGAAGGTTAAGAAGGGACTGTGAAAAGTGCCAGTGAGGGCAGGTAGATGGACTCATTTCACTTAAGGAACATGCACACAAATGGCTTTAGACTGAGCCTGTAAATCCTTTGCCAGCTAGGAATGAGTGGAGATGGGGACACTAACACAGAAAATCTCAGCTATCTCCTCCTCTGTTGCCACTCACCCTGAGATTTGTCATTTCACTTGGAGACCTGGAGATGCGTAGCAATCCTTAAAAATTTCACCTGATGCCCTGAAACCTGGCAACCCCAGTAGACAAGCTTTCCTTGTGATTTTCACTTTCCTTCTGCTTTCTTTTCTCATTTTATTGCACTACCAAATGTGATACACACATACCCAGGAAGGAGACCTTTTTCTTTATGACTGATGATCAGGTTCACGAGTTGTTTTTTCACCATTGAATGCGTTTGGCAAACACATTGGCTGCTGTCATCCTGCTTTAGAGTGTTAGGAATCTTGTGTTCCTTTTAATATGTCTTTCACTTAACATTTGCTTAAAAAGAGGAAGTCAGAAGATGGTTGAGTAGAACAGCATACCTTGGATCACAGCTTGTCATCTTTAGAACATTATGGTACGGATACTGTGAAGGAAGATATATGTAACTCAGATATAAAAGCACAGGATCAGTAGATAATGAAAGGAAAGTTGTTTATATCTCAGCTTCCTTCTATGCAATTATACATAGAGTTCCTATGAGATCTTCTATCTAGGCACTTTCCAAACTGAAACATGCTCAGTTTCATCTTCAGTCCTTTAGTTTCAACTTCAGTTCATAACCCTGGCTCATGTATAGTGAACAGCATCACAGTGAAGTAGTGAACTGCATCACAATTAAGTAAGGTAAACTGCAATGCTGACTGGACAGGAGTTAATACCTTGTAGGAAAAAGCCAGCTCCAGATACAAATAGCACAGAATATTGTTCAAAGTTCTTTGTAGAGTTAGCTCAAGGTGTGTCTGTCATCTTGTGCTTACCTGAATTTTTCAGATTTTCACAGTCCGGGCAGAATGGTATGTACCAAGAGTTTTAACTTATCAGCAACAGATAAATCACAAACCTGAAATGGCATTGAGATAAGAGGTGAAGAACAGGGAGAGTACAAAGCAGTTATTAAAGATCTCATACTAAACTACAGGGAGAACTGGGAAGAAGGGAAGTTGGGCAGATAGCATTCAGCTACTGTATAAGATTGCCTGCTCTCAAGTGCATAAAACTGTCCCTGATGAGATAAATGCCCCATATTAAAACTGTCAGAAACCAACTCTCATTTTGTTGTATGGAAAGGTGACCATACTTCCTCTTGAATATCAGCTTCTCTAAGCCTTAATTAACCTACAGGAACCTGATGCAAAACTATGAGTTAAGAAGGATAAGGCAGTGACTGTTCTTAATAAAGGTGCCTGCTGAGGAATAGGGAAAGGTGAGGAGAGTGATGCAATAAGATAAGCTGGAGGGAGCTACAGTGCATCACAGGCAGACTGAGGTCCAAGCTGGGAATGGAGAAAATGCAGCCCATAAGCTGCATGAAACCTCCAGGAGCATTTTTGCTTTCAGCACCTCAGGTACTCCAGCCTTTCCCCCAGCTCTACTTTTTTAAAAAAATTAAAATACTAAGAAACGTCCCTTTTAGTCCTCTAGAAAGTGTGGGGAAAACTTTGTTGTGTTATGAAGGCCCCCAGCAATGCTGGGAGTCCCCATACTGGGATGGGAGAGGATAATTGAAAAAAAAAAACTTTTGCCCTCTAGGGGCTCAATGGGACTTTTCCAGTTTAAAAAAAGACAGTTTAAAAAGTGAAGCCCACTTTCCAGTGAACAGAAATACATGACAGTGTACAAAAGAGTTGAAATTAATACAAGAATTAAATGTGCAAATTCACCTCTTTGATTACACCCCTTCATCTTCAATCCGTCTCCTCTACAGTTGTGTCCATCACACTGCCAAGAAATCAGTAATATGTCACCATCCAAGTAATCCATGGTTTAGGCTGTGAAATACAAACTCTTGTCCATAAGTGTTTTTATAAGGGTAGTTTGCTATAAAACAGATCGAGAATATGTGACCGTCCATATGTCGCTAGACTACAATTCCTATGAGGCCAACTGGAGTTGTGACCAAACAATGTCTGCAGGGTCAGACATAGGCCTGTAATGTCATCCCACCTGTAAAAGAATTGTAGCTGAGTTTAAAATATGTAGTAATTGGAATGGTTAAACTACAAGAAGCTGAAGGTTTAATTAAAGATCCCTCTTCACCTTTCATTTTCCTTTGCGAATCTCTTATTATCTCATGTTGAAAGCAAACAAAAGGAAGTGCAATCTCCATCCTGTTCTGGTTGTGAACATCTGGTTGGCCTCTGCTGAGACAAGAACGTTGAGGCATATGTACTGTTGATTGAGAAGGACAATCCTTATATTACAGATATCTATATTGTAAAAATAAAAATGATAGGGCTCAAATAATAGCAGTAACAGAAGACTGACGTGGCTTAATCAATCTCAGCAGTGTCAAAAGGATATAGAAAATTCTTTTCCAACCGCAAGTGGCCTCTGGTCCAAGCACAGGAGTGATTGATACAGACATGTGGTGCTGAAATCCCTCTCCCAACTTTGAGCCATGATCTGCCCCAGGTTCACCCGTCCTTCCACCTACCTCTGGTCAATCTGCTCCGACTGGCAACAATTATCTGAGATCTCAAGCACACATTTTTCATTCTATTCGCATTGTGATCCTTTCCAAATAAGAAGAGCCAAGAACAGAACCTGGGGCCACTGGAACACAAAGAGAGTGCTTTCCAATGAGTTTCAATTATGTACTTAGAATGGTAAAGGCAGTTACAGCTCTGCAGATGTTACCAGTTGGCAGCTCTCAGCAGTCCTTACCATTGGCTATGCTGGCTAGGGCTGATTGGAGTTGCCATCTGTTCACTTTGAGAGGGCTGCACTTTGTTTGTCACTGACCTAGGAATGTGTTCTGTCTTTGTGCTTTAACCTGTTGCCACTTCTACTCATGGTCTTGCAACAAGTCTAGGTTTCTGAGGGCACAAGCTTTTGGTCAGGTCAGCAGCCCGCTGTATGAACGTGTTCACTGGATGTTGGAAAGAATTATTTTAAACATCAATCTTTTTTTTATTCACCTCCAGCGTTTTCAAAAATATCGCCATTATAGGTACAGTAAAACAGATTAAGTGTTTTTAGCCAGACAAGTCTGGGTGAAAGTCAAGCAGTAAAAGGCTGACTTCATATCTAAGAAGGAAAATGTGTACTTGACAATTCATCTTCTTTTACACTTTCCTCCTCTACCCCTTTCAACCACTTCACAGACGTTGCATCTTCTTGTATGATGATCTGTGTTGTCCCAGAACCATTTGGAGGGAAATTCTAAAGCTGTTGTGTATATTCTCTTGTTTCCTGTTTCCTTCCTGAGAGAGGTTCCCTTCTGATTAGGGTCTATAATTTGTGAAGGGAATTCCTAATAGATTTTTGGCTGAACAGAACAACTTCAAGATGGCCTACTGGACCAGGTTAGTAACATTAGCAGGGGAGGATAATTTTTATTTTCAATGATGCATTCCCATAGAAAGTCTTTTTCTCCACACTGGAGAGATTTCATCCTGTATCTTTAGGGCAGAGGCAAACAAACACCAAAGGCCCGGGGGTCAGTTTTGCCTCCCCTCCATTCACTGGGGCCTGCACCAGCCCCCAAATCCAAAACCAGAAGTGGACAATATATTTTCTGGTGTACACACACTACACCAGGACACAGACAGAGTTCTAACTCCTGTCCTCTGAAGATGCCGGCCACAGAGACTGGTGAAATGTTAGGAAGAAAAATCTCCAGAATACGGCCAAATAGCCTGAAAAACCCACAACAACCATCGGATCCCAGCTGTGAAAGCCTTCGAGAATACAAATCTGTTTTCAGTTTTATGAAACTCATTTTTTTCTCTCTTTCTGCAGGAAATCAAACGAAACCAAACTGCTGCTGCTGCTCTGCTTCCTCACTAGCACGTTCACCCCTCTCCAGTGCCTTGTGGAGACCTGACTGGGCATATGGACCGCAAAAAAGCCCCTGGAGGCTGGATATAGGCCAAGAGGCCACTGGAACTCCACTCCTGCTTAAGAACTACAGAAAGGATAGCAAACCAATGTTCTAAATCTCAATCTGCATCTAGTTGAAGTGTTCCTCAATAGATTACTCTCATTCATGGTTTTGGTGATTCTTCCTCTAATTCAGTCATTTGCATGGGCAGCTCAAATAACTTCTTACTGCTTACATTAATTAATTGCTTTTGACACTATGTTTCAATCAAATTCCCACTGTGCCTCTGAGAAGACCCAGCCTGCGTGACCTTTGACAAGCTGCAGTGCCCTAGGGGGGTCTCATCATGGTATCATCTGAAAGTCCATCCATCATTACACATATTTATTTTATTTATTCTGAATATTTATATCCCACCTTGTGTTGCATGATCTCAGGTGGGTGCACAGCAAAATGTTTTAACACAGATTATAACAAACAAAACAAACAATGAAAACAGTTTAAAGCAAATATATATGCCATCTTTCTCCCTACAGGGTACCTGAAGTGGCTCATAACAATTAAATTGTACAATTATAACCGTTAAAATACTATACAAAACTGTATAGTAAAAACAAATTGACCGAGATTAAAAACCAACTGAGGTTTTTGAACACTCTTCAATGAGAGTCTGTTGAGAATGCACAGCGCTGTTATGCTGTTTGAGATTTCCTTCAACAATCTCCAAACTGAGAGCAAAAATCAAAGACACAGAACACAGGAGATGTTCCCTTCAGCAAGAATGTATTTACAAAAATATACATACGTAGCACTTCAGAACTGGCAGATTCTCACAATTCCTTCCGACAAAGTGACTGGCTGCTCCTCCATACATTAATGCAACAAAAAAGCCTAGTCAGCAACTTACTTACACACTTTTGCATTACAGAAGCATGATGCAGCAAATTGAACTTCGCCCATGTGCAGAAGTGTCACATGATTTTCCTGGCCAAGTGCCAACCTGAATGACTCAACCTTTTTTTCAGTTTCCCATAATTTTACAAGACAATTCCATATTTATTTTAAACAAAATGCTGACAGAGTCCCACATAATGTGTATTGCAGTAGTCCAAATGGGCTGTAGCTAAGGCATGTGTCACCATGGTCAGATAGGACATCTCAAGGAATGGGTGCATCTGGCACACTATCTCTAACTGTGGAAAGGCATTCCTGACTACTGGTGAGACTTGTGCATCCAAGGTCAGGGTTGAGTACAGGAGTACACCCAAGCTGTCAACCTGACTTTTTCAGGGAGAGTGTAATCCTGTCCAGAACAGGTTGAATCCCTATCCTCTGATTTGCCTTGTGACTGACTAGGACCAATGTCTATAATTTTGAAACCACTTAAAATCTACGTACAGAACTTGACCGCCTCCTACTCCAAGATCGTTACACTCCAAAGTAGGGTTGAGTACAGGAGTACACCCAAGCTGTCAACCTGACTTTTTCAGGGAGAGTGTAATCCTGTCCAGAACAGGTTGAATCCCTATCCTCTGATTTGCCTTGTGACTGACTAGGACCAATGTCTATAATTTTGAAACCACTTAAAATCTACGTACAGAACTTGACCGCCTCCTACTCCAAGATCGTTACACTCCAAAGTCTTGATGGAATTCTATAATTTCGAAACCACTTAAAATCTACTTAGAGAACTTGACCGCCTACTCCAAGATCGTTACACTCCAAAGTCTTGATGGAAAACATTTGAAGGTAGTTTCATTGAATTCTGGTCAAACAAACCAGAAACTGCATGAATCAGTTGTGTGATTAATTGGTTCTTCATGGATGTGTAATTTGTTGTATAGTGTTTTTAATTAATGAAGAATGGATGGTGGGTCTATTTTCTTCCTTTGCACAACAGGAAGGGGGCTGATGTTTCCTCCTCAAACTTTCCCTGGACAGGCTGCTTACAACTATCCTTGAGGAAAATAACAGCAGTGCAGGCTCAGACCCATCCAACATTCCATTTCCCATAGGAAGACCCCAAAGGAAGAAATAAGAATCTTCCACAGTCTCTCTGCAGCAACTCGAACTGAGCTTTCATACCTATTAGTTATTCATTGATATCTTTGACCTCTGTCAATTTGCGTAATCCACTTTAAATGTTACTTTAGAGAGACAGAGTATAACTCTATAGAAATAAAAGTGAGTGATGTGGTCATTACAAAATACAAAAGCAAGAGTAGGCAATAACTTTATACACCGCTTTAAAAAATCATCATACAATCTGCTAGCTTTTACTTTATACACCACTTTAAAAAATCATCATACAATCTGCTAACGTTTGTGGATCAGGATCACTTTGTCAGGCATGTACTGGTGTGAAGAACATAAAGTCCAAAAGTTCGTGGCAAGATGGATTTTGCTAGGAAAGTTACTCTTAGACGTAAAGTCCAAAAGTTATTGGCAAGGTGGATCTCACCAGGTACCCTTTTCTTAGGTGTAAGTCAGGAAAGATGCACGCTGCATTAGAGATCTTATTTTAAAGCTACAGATTAGGTAGATGTGGATTGGACATCAAATCCCAATTCTTCAAACAATCTCTGTGTCTGTTTTTGTTCTGCATTGAAGTAATTGTGTGGTACATCAGTCCAGAAGTCAGGAACATCAGATATAGATAACTGTAGTCCTTCACTCCCAAGTTCTCTCTATCTTAAAATTTCGTGATGGAGACCTTTCTTTCTTTTCTTTCTTAATTGAACAGGAACGGCTTTTGAAGAAGAAAATATTGGGGGATGGGGAGATTAAACTTCCCCTCAAATGTGGTGCTCATGATACAGATTGGTGGTGGTGGGATCCATACACCTAATTTAGTGTAAATTTATTTATTTACTTATTCTATTTATATCACGCCTATTTACTTATTTACTTATTTACTTATTTACTTATTTACTTATTTACTTATTCTATCTATATCCTGCCTATCTGGTCTTGTGACCACTCTAGGCAAAAGCATGTTCATGAGCTGCATAACATGTCATGAACATCATATGTGATTTTAGTGTACCTCAGCAGCCATCTTGTGTGGATGAATTAAAACTATCTATATGCTGTGTGAATAACTGCTTCCTTTTTTGTCTGAATATCTCAGCAGCAGTCAATTTCATAAAATGACTCAGTCTCTCGTATGATGACAGAGGGCTATAATTCCCCTTTTCTGAGGTGACACCATATATGGAGTAGATGAACTGGGGTGAATATTGTTTCTGAGGTAAGCTGATCTATCAGCTCAACACAGCAACTGGTTGTTCCATTCTTCCTCACACCTTGTAGCTGATTGTCAGCGTGGGCAGTGTTGAAAGAGTGTTAATTTCCAGCTATGTTAAACACTTGCTTGAATAATTTATTGGTTATTTATTCTGCCTGAGTGGAAGGTCAGAATATGCATTTAAATGGAAATGTTCTTACAAACAGAACAGAAAGGACCTCGCCATTATCAGTGCTTCTCAGCTGGACCCAGTTTGAAACAAGCTGGTCAGAGAGATCAAGGAGTCCATACTTAATCCTGAAGCATTTATCAAACACTATCACAGCTGTTTTTACATACAAAGGTTCTCCAGAATGTGTTTGAGTTCACCGTCCCTGTCCTTGAACAGGCTGAAGTCAACATTACACTGTTTCATTTCTCACTTTGAGCTGCCAGCTTGGGCAGAAACATGAAAGGCCTATTCAAGGAGTCTTCTTCATGGACAAAAATGACTGAATTTATTCTTGATTTCAGGGACTATTAGTGGTTCCAGCCATGATAGGAATGCAAGGAGCTTAGATGAGTCAATCTATGTAGCCCAGCATTCACAATGACTAGCAGAAACTCCCCAGTGTTTCAGATAGAAAGTTGTCCTAATTCTCTCAAAAGACGCCAAAGACTGGAGCCATCTGCTGAGCAAACCATGGCCACTGAGTATAGACCTCTATACAGACAATAATTGCTGTTGGTTAGTGCACTGTAAAATTAACCTAGGAAAACAGGGTGTAACAATGATGTCTGTTTTTCATTTCCTCATAAGCTGTTTGATACCAGTACTATTTCCTCATCACACACACACACAATTACCATTGCAAGGGAAGAGAGAGAGAGAGAAGTCCATTGTTGCTACCCTCTTATTTACTTCCATCACTGTTCCTTGGAAGGCTAAGGACTAGACATCTGCAACTAGAAGCCTTTCACATATGATTATGCTCACTGTGCAAAATTAGAATCTTGGTCTCCAACAGGATAGAGACATACCAAAAGGAGTAAAATCGGAAAGGGGGCCCATCCTCTTTCTCACTGATATAGAAATCACTGAATGGAACTACAGCCTTCTCCATCTCTCATAAATATAACAGCCAGTGTCCCCAACATGTGCTACCTGGAGCTTGGAAAAATGTACTTTTTTGGATTACACCCTACACATCCCACAGTCATATCCTCCAGGTGCATTTGTTTCCTTGGACAAGGATGGAGTTAATGATGAGTCCCACATCAGTTCATCAGACAAAACAAGGGAACAGGACTTTTCACTTGATCAAGTAGAATGAAATGTGAGTAGCCCAAGAAGTTTTGCTGCCTGAGGCAAAGGACAAGATGGTATTGCCCCTTTCACTGCACATGCAGAAGCTGCCTGGGTTCCCTTCTGAATCTTACTTCTATACTGATAATAATAAGACCTCATCTGACGGTGCCAATCTATTTTAGTATTCTTTGTGGCACACACAACTCTGTAGTCTAGCAATAGAAATTGGTAGAGGACTCAATGGGAACAGCCAAGGGATTGTGGCTGCTACCACACCCTCAGCATCTGCCACTTGAGGCAATTGTCTCACTTTGTCTTACATTAGGGTTGGCCTTGTCTCACATGAAGAAGCTCATGCAGCAAAGGTTTACTATAAATACATGAGTTGTAAAGTTTCTCAAGCATGTGCATCACAGTTGTTGGCCTCTGACTTTGTACTCATTGTTCTTTAGATTTTGCCAGTGCTGTGTGTTCATAAACACACATTTAGCTTTGCATTATATGGGCTGTTACCCAGGAATAAAGTGAATTAATGGGAAAACAAGGGGTTTAAAAACAGCCTGCCCTTGACTCACTCTGTATTACTAGAGACCCATAAAATGTGTGGAGAGTTAACTGAGCCATGAATAGTTACAGTCGTAATTGGAGATTTGTTGAATTTATTGTAAAAGGTGTTTCAAACACCCCTTTCTTTTAGAAGGAGTCTATGTACTTGTGGGGAAATATGCAACATTATACAAACATCCTGGCCAATTATGGTGATCATGGCCTTGCTCTATTGTCTCATTGCTCTCATTGCCAGGGGGGAAAGCAGACTGCAATAACTGAATTAGAAAATTTGGTACATAGAGCAATGAGGCATCTCATTTTTCCATGGTTCCATGTTAAGGATAGTAATGAGTGGAATGGATGGTAAAGAGGGATGAAAGCTTTCTTATAATGAGAGGACAATCATACAGTTGTTAATAGATTGGATGGTATTAATCCTTGTATGCTTTAAGTGGGTGGATGACAGAATTGGAGCTAGGGCTGACCTCCACATCTTCCCTGGAGACTTTCCACAGGGGGTGAATGACTGCCAGGCAGCCAACTAGGGGAGTTGTGTGGCCGATTCCAGTGGGGCAGTACCCTTGACAGGTTGAGGCCTTGAATTCAACAATGGTTGCAGCCCTGGCTACATTGGGGACCAAGACAGTGAAGGAGAGAGAGAAGGATTGATGGCTGGGGCAGAAGGCTATAAAGAGGATGGATCCGAGCCTGGGGAGGAGGAAGTGGCCACGAGGAGGAAAATGCTAGGGAGGCAGAGGTATGGAATGATGTTTTGTATAGGGCTATCAACTCCTGGAACCCTAATATGTCCTCATATTTTAGTTATGCCAACTTTGACTGCCTTTGTCCTACCCAATGTAACAGCTAGAGGGTACAGAAAGCAAAAACAACCATTGAAAGAAGCTCCATATAGTGTGCTACACAGGAACTCCAGTAATGTAGAACTCAATAAAATGAACATATCTAACATAAAGATTTTAATTATTTATAACTGCAT